CTACAGGTGTGTGCCACCATATCCAGCTAATTTTTGTATTTTTGTAGAGACAAGGTTTCACCACGTTGCCCAGACTGGTCTCAAACTCCTAGGCTCAAGTGATCCACCTACCTCGGCCTCTCTAACTGCTGGGATTACAGGCATGAGCTACCACGCCCGACTAAAGTGAATATACTTAATGAAAGAGAGAATGAAGTTTGAGCTTCTATATATTAATAGAGAAAGATCTCCAGTACAATCTGTCCACAGCAAGATTTATAAAGCAAAACCAGCAAAAAACAGAATAGTATATATAAAATGCTATCTTTCTGTAAGAGAAGGGAAAATCTGGATATATGTTAGTGTTTGCAGAATGGAACACTGGAAAAGACACTGTCGCCTAGGCTGGAGTGCAAGTGGTGTGAGCTTGGCTCACTGCAACCTCCGCCTCCTGGGTTTAAGTAATTCTTTACCTTAGCCTCCCGAAGTAGCTGGGATCACAGGCATGTGCCACCATGCCCAGCTAATTTTTTATTTTTAATAGAGATGGGGTTTCACCGTCTTGGCCAGGCTGGTCTTGAAGACCTGACCTCGTGATCCACTCACCTTGGCCTCCCAAAGTAAGTGCTGGGATTACAGGTGTGAGCCACCGCGCCCAGCTTGATTTTTTAACTGAATGAATAAATTATCTACTTAGATTTTCTTATATGGTTGCCCTGGAGAAGGGGAAAGGAGGTTGGGTTGAGGAGGGTAGAGCGGGGACCAGGCTTTCCTCTTGATTCTAGACCATGTATTTGTCTTACTTTTAGAAAAAAGAAAAAAAGGAATAAGAGCACATTTTCAGTGACCAAAAAACTTATGAAAAGATGCTCAACTTCACTAGTAGTGAAATGCAAATCAAAACCACAGTAAGATGCCATTTCACACCCAGCAGGCTGGAAGAAATTTAGGTGGGACAAAACCAAGTGTGGCAAGGATGTGGGCAGAGCGAGGGGAGCTGCCCCACAGTCACCACAGGATCACTTCTCATGCCACAGAGGCACATCCCTCCCACCTAGTAATCCCCCCGCTCAGAACATATGGAGGAACCCGAGCACACGAGCCCAGGAAGGTTCACTGCAGCATTGCAGGCAATTGCCAAATGCTGGAAATGAGCTGAAAGTCCATCTACAGGAGCGCCAATGAAGGAATTCAATTTATCACCCAATGGAATGCAACATTGCAATTAAACACATGAACTAGAACCATGTGTATCAACTCAGATAAATCTCAAAAACAGTACAGAATTTATTTATTTATTTAAGATGGAGTTTCTCTCTTGTTGCCCAGGCTGGAGTGCAGTGGTACAATCTTGGCTCACCGCAACCTCTGCCTCCCAGGTTCAAGCAATTCTCCTGCCTCAGCCTTTCAAGTAGCTGGGATTATAGGCACGTGCCACCATGCCTGGCTAATTTTTATATTCTTAGTAGAGATGGGGTTTCACCATATTGGCTAGGCCGGTCTTGAACTCGACCTTGTGATCCGCCTACCTTGGCCTCCCAAAGTGCTGGGTTTATAGGTGTGAGCCACCATGCCGGCCCTATTTTTCTCTTTACTATTGTGTACACTTGAAATATGTCTTAATCGCAATAACAATAAACAAGGCTTGGAGCACAGACAGGTAGAGAGGAGGTGTAGGCTGGGGAAGGGGGTGTCCACTCACACAAATGGAAGGCACCCACCTCATCATTCCCCTCCTTGGCACCTGCCCCCACACATTTGTCTTGTGGGCACTGGGGCTGGGGGTGCAAGTTCTGAGCTTCCCTGAGATGGACTTGGAGACAAAGGCTACCCAAGTCCTGCCCCAACAGCAAGGGGAAGAGAAGGAGAAAGGGCTAGGGGAAGGAACATGCCCCAGGCTCAGCCCAGTCAGCAGCTCGGGACTCATGGCAGCCACAGCCAGAAACCTTACAGCCAGGCAGAGTTCGAGGGCTGGCCTGCTGTGGGTGCCACATGCACAAGGGCACCAGCAGCTTAGGGTGGCTTCGAAAGTGGCTGGAGCTGAAGCTACAAGCAAGGAGCCATGCAGGGGTTCCTTCCCGAGGTGGGGGTGGCGGGGGCTTTTCGAGCCCAGCCTCCAGAGTCAGCAAGTAAAGGAGGAGCTAGCAGGGAGCTGGGCAGGCCACTAAAAGTCCCAGCAATGGCCAGGCTCACCCCAGGATGGTCGAGGGCAGAACTTTTGGGAGTCTTCAGGACAAGGCCACTTCTGATGACCACCAGCCAACTTCTAAAATGCCTGCCATAACCCTATCCCCTTGCTAGGTCCCACCCCCCCAGGCCTGGGTGTTTGCAGGAGACATGGAAACAGTGAAAGCCAGAACTTTCACTTGAGGCCAAGCCCCATCTTTGTCCTCTCTGGACTCCAGTGTCAAACTTGAAGAGGGTGTATAGTCCGTGTCTCTTGTCCCACATTCTAATGGCCTAATTTGTACCCGCCAGCTACAGGGTGCATGGAGACCTGGCTCTGTCCCAGAAGGTAGGCTCCGCTCAGGTCCCAACAGGGCCATAGGGAGTCCAGATGGGCCTCTGCCCACCTCATCAAGACACCAAGGAAGCAGAAGCTGGGGCAGAGAAGAGGGGGAAGGAGATGGAGTCTGAATCTTTCTTTTCCAAGTCACTTTGCTGGATGGACCCAGCAAGGCTATGGGACCACAGGGTGGCCCAGGTGTTCTGGGGTGGGCCCCACTCACAGGCTTTGGGAAGACACAGAGGAAGAGATGGGGGACCTGGGGGAGGAGAGAAGGGGAAGGAGTGATGAGGGTGGAGGGCAGGAAGTCGAAGGAGCATTTGTTTTGCTAAATGGCTTTGTTGCTGACAAAAATTGGCCCCAAACGCTGTCCACTAGGAGCCTAGGGCAAGTCTTCCTTGGTCACACATACTGCCTTGTCACCAGCCTGTCACACCACACGGCTGCATACACACACCTCGACACACATGCAAACCTTCCCCTTCCAGTCCTGGCAGAGCCCACCCATGGGACCCTCACCTCTCTCTCTCTCCAAGTTCCTTACAGGAACTAGACTAAATCCTGCTACTAGATGGCAGTCCACCCTCCATCTGCAGCCTCAACACCCTCCCATTTCCGACTCCAGGAGAGGCCCAGGCCTCCTGTCTCTACCCATCCTTCAGGGAACTGGGACAGGTGAGGTCAGAGCTGTCCTCACCTCATGCCTCTAAGTGAGCACATGAAACCCACAGAGCCTGGGCCCCACTGGGAAAATTCTGGGTGGGTCACAGCCACAGGACATGGGGCAGCCAGGCCTGAGTGAGGGGTAGAGCCAAGAGGATGCCAGGGAGGGGCCCCACGCATGCACTGATGCCTCATATGTGCTGGGGGCACCCACTGTGTGACAGACACTGCAGGTAAAACAGCAAACAACGACAACGACACAGAAATCCCTGCCCTGGTGGAGCTGACATTCTAATGGGGAAGATAAAGGGCAAACACAAATAAATAAAATACACTGAGCATGGCAGATTCATGCTACAGAGAAAAAGAAAGCAGGCAAGGAAGGTGGGGCCTCACTGAAGATGTGAAACCTGAAGCCGCTGAGTGTCAGGGCCGCGTGGGTATTTGGAGAAAGAATGTTCCAGGCAGAAGGAACAGTAAAGGTGTGGAGGCGGGAGTGTGGCTGGTGACTATGAGGAATGGTAGGCGGAGCCTGGTGTGGCTGCAGGGGGGTGGAAAGGCGCAAGGGGTAGAGGATGAGGTGGAGAGGCGCAGGGGCAACGGTGTAGGGGGAGAGGATGAGGTGGAGAAGCGCAGGGGTGTAGGGGGAGAGGATGAGGTGGAGAGGCGCAGGGGTGTAGGGGGAGAGGATGAGGTGGAGAGGCGCAGGGGTGTAGGGGGAAAAGATGAGGTGGAGAGGCGCAGGGGCAACAGTGTAGGGGGAGGGGATGAGGTGGAGAGGCGCAGGGCCAACAGTGTAGGGCAGAGGAGGCTTACAGTCCAGGGCCAGGGCAGTTCCCACCTAAGACCGTACCAGCCAAAGCCCCAGCTCAAAGCCCCGTGATGGAAGCAGAAACAGAACTGCACATGGAGGCCCCTTTGTGGGTTCCAAGGGATGGACAAGGCCCCCAGCAGCCAGCCTGCCAAGGATGTCATTGGATTGTCTCAAGTCCTGCTCCCCTCCGAGCACCCCATCAAGGACAATCCCAGCTAAGCTCTCCCCAGAGGAGCAGCCACACGGGCAGACTTGGTGACAGCAGGCCCAGAGTGTTGCTGCCTGCCCCCACCCTGCCCACCACACCCAGGACCTGTCTGTCGGACTGTCGGTCGGTCTCAGCCCTCACAGGTAAGCACAGCAACAGCACCTCACTCTGGTTTAGCACAATGACAGCCAGGATACTGTTTAATCCCCACAAAGGCCCTCAGCCTGATGGGCAGCCGAGGAGCGCACTGACCACGCAGGACAAGGCCCCACGAACGAAGTCGCTTGGCCAAGGTGAACTCTCACCAACTTCCCAGCAAGGGGCTTTGTTAGAGCTTCCTGCAGAGCAGGACTCACCCTCAGGATGGGGCTGAGGACACAACCAGGGTCAAAAGAGTTCTGGAAACCGGGGGTCTGAATCGCTTACGATGCAGATGAGGAACTGAGGCACAAGGAAGGGCTGTCACCAGGGCCTCCTAAAGCCTCAGACAATTCTCTTCTCCACCCCTGTTCCCTCAGAAAACATCCAGTCACACAGACACAGAAAGCCCTGCGGCTATGGGGATTTTGAGGGGAGAATGGGCCCCTGGCCAGCAGTGGGTGTGCCCCTGAAAAGTGGGGTGTGGCCCCGGAAAATGAAGGGAATGGTGTGTCTGTGCCAAGATGGCAGCAGTGCAAGCCAAGGGGGATTCTGCCGATGGCAGAGTGAGGTCTGCAGGGCAGCCACATCTAATCCAGCTGCTGCAGCTGAATGCAGTTGAATAAATTCAGTCGCAGGTCCAGGACCCTGCAGCCTTGGAGGGGCAGGGGCAAAGGGAGTGCAGATCTTACCTCGAAACTTCTTAGGGGGGTTGTCCAGGTCCCCGGCCGCGGGCTCCACCACACAGCGGTCATCCACCAGCCTGAGGGACAAGGCAGCTTGGTCAGCAGGAGAGAAGATACCCATCTCCCACAGCATCCCTCCCCTGGAGCAGGGGATTCCAGGGCACCAGTGAGTCCCTAAGATAACTCCTCCATCACTAACAAGCCCCCACCATCAAGTTACTCTTTCCTGGCACCACTGTTGAAAGTCAAGGTGTCTCTTGGGTGGCGAGGGGAGAACCCCAGGAAGAACACAGAAGCACACCCAGCCCACCCCGACCCCTTCACTGGAGCTGCAGCTGTCCTGGGGGGATTCTGCCACTAGTCGGGGCAGTCACATGCTGCAGGTGCATCTCTTGTCCCGGTCCTGAGACCCTGCTACCCTGATGGGAAGGGCAGTGGGTGAAGCAGGCAGGAGAGGAGCAGAAAAACAACGGCACAGAGGAGTGGGAGGGAGAGACACAAAGAGAGTCAGAAAGATAAAAAGGATGAGAAACAGCAGCAGAGAGAGACCAGAGACAGATAGATGAGAGAAGCATAGGAGACACCAAACTAGCGGCATGAGTCTTTAGGTCTCCAAGGAAGGACAATGAGTCTCACACCTTCCCAGTCTCAGTCAGGCCTCATTTTATATTCTCCTCTTTGCTTCACCTTAGGACAATTTCCTCTTATAGCCATGCTGCGGTTAATCTTGCATCTCTCTCTCTCTCTCTTTTTTTTTTTTTTTTTGAGATGGAGTTTTGCTCTTGTTCCCCAGGCCGGAGTGCAATGGTGCAACCTCCACCTCCCAGGTCAAGTGATTCTCCTGCCTCAGCCTCCTGAGTAACTGGGATTACAGGCATGCACCACCACGCCCAGCTGATTTTGCATTTTTAGTTGAGACAGGGTTTCTCCACGCTGGTCAGGCTGGTCTCAAACTCTCGACCTCAGGTGATCCACCCACCTTGGCCTCCCAAAGTGCTGGGATTACAGGCGTGAGCCATTGCGCCCAGCCATCTTGCATCTCTTGAGGACATTCATTTGCCCATCCATCTATCCACCCATCCACTCATCCCTTCACCCATTCATCTACCCAACCACCCATCATCCATCTATTCATCCACCCACCCATGCACCCGTCCATCCACCACCCATCCACCCATCTACCCATCCAGCCATGCTTCCTGCATTTAAAATTTGTCAATGCCTCTCCAGCCTTCTGGATAAAGTGATGCTGATCACCCACCGTGTCAAAGGCCAACTCTGTCTCAACACCCTCATGCCTGTTGCCTCTGAATTCTCACCAACTTCCCAGCAAGAGGCTTGTTTTTGGTGCCATTTTACTGAGGAAAAAACTGAATCTGAATATTAAATAACATGCCTAAACGCACAGAGCTGATTTCAAAGCCCATGCTCCTTCTGTACCTCCCCTCCCTGGGTTGGTTAACAAGGTCTTTTGTGATCTGACCTCCACCTCCTCCATAGCTAGCCTCACTATTTCTTTGCCCCAACTCTACTAAACCTCCTGTTGATCCCAAAGTCCCTGAAGCGCTCATCTCTCCAGAGGCAGTCCTGGCAGCCTGCAGTGTTTCACACCTGCTCCACCCTGGCCCCATGAAGCCACAGGCCTAGCAAAACTCCATTCTTCTACCCTCAGCTCTCCTACTCTGCAAAGCCTTCCTTGACCAGCCACTGTGGGCCTCCCTCCTCCATGTTCCGGCACCTGGTCCTGGCCTTCCCTGCAGCAGTGTCTCTCCCCACTTCTATACTTGCTGTATCTATACTGTGAGTTCCTGGAGAACCAAGCCCCTGAGTGTTTTATTTGAAACAACTAACATTTTGCACAATGCAAAGTGTTACGACATAATCGAAATATATATTTGGTCTTCATCCCAGCTCCTGACCAGAGTTCCTTAAGTGTAACTTCCTAAGTGATAAGGGCAAGAAGAGTTACAATGTTCAGATTTTTGTATCCAGTTCCTGAAATAGATAGGAAGCAATAAAGATGAAATGGCATGAATTCTGTTCATGCTGAGCCTCTTTCAACCACACCTGGTTTTATGTTAATGAGGTGACTTTTGGAAAGACCCTGAGTATGGGGCTGCCAGGGGAATAACCATCTAATTAGAGGGTTCCCATTTTTGGCCCCACCCCCATCACAACCTCCTCCTGGGAGGAGAGAGCCGCTGAAGGTTAGGTTGGCCGCCAATGGCCAATGGTTTAATCAATCATGCCTATGTAAGGCAGCCTCCATAAAAACCCAAAAGGGGCCAGGTACAGTGGCTCTCACCTGTAATCCTAACACCTTGAGAGGCTGAGGCAGGCTAATCACCTGAGGTCAGGAGTTCAAGACCAACCTGGCCAACATGGTGAAACCCCCATTTCTACTAAAAAAAAAAAAAATTACAAAAATTAGCCAGGTGTAGTGGCGCACACCTGTAAACCCAGCTACTCAGGAGGGTGAGGCAGGAGAATCGCTTGAATCCAGGAGGCAGAGAATGCAGTGAGCTGAGATCATGCCATTGTACTCCAGCCTGAGCAACAGTGCAAGACTCCATTTAATAAATAAATAAATAAGGACCAGATTCAGAGAGAGCTTGGCTGGTGAACATGGTGAATACATGAGGGTACTAGGAGGGGGGCACCTTGGAGAGGGCCTGGATGCTCTACACCTCCTGCTCCATACCTTGTCCTATGAATCTCTTCCACCTGGCTGTTCTTCTGAGTTCTGTGAGCCATTCTAGCAAATTATCAAACATGAAGAGAAGGGAAGATGGAGATGGAGAACCCCTGATTTATGGCTGGTTGGTCAGAAGCCCCAGAGGCCCAGACTTGCGATTGGTGTCCGAAGTGACGTTAGTCTTGGTGGACTGAGCTTTCCACCTGTGGGATCTGACACTAACTCCAGGTAGATAGTGTCAGAATTGAACTGAACTGGAGGACATCCGGGTGGTGTCCTCAATACTGGAGAACTGCCTCATGTTTTCATATATTGCTACTTAAGTTTCTAATTCTACTTTGTTATTTCCATTTTGCAGGCAGAGAAAGCAAAGTATGGAAAGGATAAACAATCTGCAGAGCCAGGCTTTGAAGCCAGGCAGCCCAGCGGCAGAGGAGGCGCTGTGCAGGACCGCAGAGTGACAGGGAGGGCAGAGGGTCCTCTGTCTCCTTCTTCTCCCAGCCTCCAGCACCTGCTCAGTCCTTGGCCCTCTTCCCTTCTGCATCTGCACTCGAGTCCTCGGGCATCTTGACCCCACTCATAAACTTAAAAGCACCACCAATTGAGAACTCCTACCTTTACCTCCCCCAAACTCTAGCCTCAGAGATCTAACTGCCTATTTGGCATCTCTACCTGGGTGTCCACAGGCATCTCAAACTCAGCCTGTGCAAGCTGAGCTCCTGGCCTCCTGCCAGAATATGCTCCTCTGGAGGTCCTCCCCATCTCAGTCGACAGCAACTCCATCCTTCCAACTGCTTGGTCCAAAAAACCTTGGACCTATCCTTGGCTCCTCTCTTCCACTCACACCTCACCTCACCTGTCAGGAAATCCTGTGGGCTGCATCTTCAAAATGCACAATCAGGTACAGAATTGGACCTCTTCTTGTCACTTTCGCCACCACATTGTCCAGGCTCCCACGAGCTCTCACCTGGATTTCAGTAACTACCTCCTCATTAGTCTCCTGGGTTTCCCCTTCACTCCCTACAGCCTATTTCCCACACAGCAGCAGGGGGATCCCTTTAATTTTTTTATTTTTTTGAGATGGAATCTCACTCTATCACCCAGGCTGGAGTGCAGTGGTGTGATCTTGGCTCACTGCAACCTCTGACTCCCAGGTTCAAGCAATTCTCCTGCCTCAGCTTCCCGAGTAGCTGGGATTACAGGCACCCACCACCATGCCCAGCTAATTTTTTCTTTTCTTTTCTTTTTTGTATTTTTAGTAGAGACAGGGTTTCACCATGTCTCAAACACCTGACCTCGGGTTGATCTGCCTGCCTCGGCCTCCCACAGTGCTGGGATTAGAGCTACCACACCCAGCAGGGGGAGGATCCCTTTAAAAGATAAGTCAAATCAGGCCAGAATCCACTCAGAACCCTCCAGAACCACCCATCTCAGAATAAAACCAAAGAACTCACATGGCCTGAAAGATCCACATGGTCCATCCCCCTCATCTCTTTGATAGCGTCTCCTCCCCATCCCCTTCCCTTCACCCCTCTGCTCCAGCCCTGGAGCCCCCTCAAGGCTCCTTAAAGACCCCCAGGGAACCGGACATGGCTCTTTCCTCTGCCCAGAACCCTCTACCTCCAGATCCTCATCTCCTTCAGATCTGGGCTCAAACAGCCTTGTTCCTGTGAAGACCCTCCCTCCCATTTTTATTAAAAATTGCAAACTGCCTCCTGCCACACTCGGTATGCCCCTCCCTGTGTAATTGTTCTCCATGGCCTTTATATCACCACCTGGCTGGCTAGCTATATTTTACTTATTTTATTTACTATTCCTTACCCTTACCCCAAGGGATGTAAGTTCCGTGAGGGCACGGACATGTCTGTTTTGCTCCCTGCCGTATCCCCAGCACCCAGACCACTGCCTGGTGTAGAGAAGGCACACATAAAATACATACTGAGTTAATGAATTGGTTTTACCAGCTGTGCAGTAAAGTACACAAGAAGTAAAAGACAAGGCCGGGCGCGGTGGCTCAAGCCTGTAATCCCAGCACTGTGGGAGGCCGAGGCGGGTGGATCACG